TTGCAGACGCGGTCTGCCAGCTCGCCGAATAGGTCCTGGTGGAAAGATTTTTCGGCCTCCACAAACACGTTGGTTTGAAGCCGTGACCAAAGGTTTTGTTCGATATACGGGAGCATATCTTCGGGTAATTTGTTGAAAAGCCTAATTTCCACCGCTACCTTTGGCACAAGTATTTGCCACTTTTCTTGCGGAGATACCGCCGGTTGGATAGTCCGAAGCAGGGCAACGAGGGATGCGTACACCGCCGATTTGATGGACTCCCCAGCCGCCTCTGGCGCCGAATTCAACGAGTGAGGCGTAAAGGTGCAGGCCGAGCTGCACGGTGGGGAGGCCCCTGAACCAAGTGTCCTCTGGTACTCCATGCATATGTTTAGGCAGACTGCGTCCATAGCGTCAGACCTCAGCTTTTGCAGGCGGCCTTTATCGAAAATGAAGGTCGACGGGAGTATCGTCGCGGACCTAGTGGGCAGCACCATGGCCGAAAGCCCATAGAAGAAAACGGCCATATCGCCGAGCCCCTGTCGGGTCTCAGGCGTGGTGCTGATAGCCGAATACTGCCGTGAGGCGTTCCAGTACCATGTCTTGGCGTCGGCGATGTCGAAATCCACCTGCAGCTTTCTGCGAAAATGGCGCTGTAAGAAATTTACCGTGTCGTCGATTATTCGCTCGCGCAAAGAGCGGATTATGTGGTTTGCAACGTCGAGCTTCATGGCCTCCAAAACGCCAAGCAGGCTGCGCATGCCCTGTACGATTAGTCTGATGTCGTTTTTCCGGCTCCCGTCGCTCAAATTCCTGTACATCTCATCAACCCACTCATCCCTCGTAGGGGGCGCAGTGCAGCTTCAGAATCGAGGAGAGCCACGAGGCCAGCGTCTCCAGATTCAGAATGCCTTGCAAAATTCTTGGATCCGCAGCTCCACGTCCAATACCTCGCTCAGGAGCTCGCAATCTTGCGCTGCGATCATGGTCTGGATAATCTCCTTAACCGCTTTCAGCAGCTGTGGCAGGCACCAGTCCAAGTTCCTTCCGTATTGCTCGAGAAACCTTCCCCGGTCTTTCATGAACAGCCCTAGCTGGCCGGTTAGGCTAGCCCAGAACTCATCTGCCATTTGCTGCTTTCTCCTCCCCCTTTCGCCATCGAGATTCGGCCGAAATTGGAGATAGGGGCGAAGTTGATGTCGTGTCTTAGCCTTGGATTGCGTAGTATCTCTATCACGTTCAGCTCGCTCAATGTAGCCTTGGTTATCGGTGGCTTTAATGGTTGGCTCGATGAATGCCTCATCTCTAGCGATTCGGAGCTTTTTGACCTGCTTGAGTAATGCGATCTTGTCGATTTTAAAGGTGCTGACAGCAAGTCGAAACAAAAAAAGGGTGGCGAGGGGTCAAGAACTAGAAACATCATCCTTTATTATAACAATGTGGATGGGAGATTAAATTAAAACTGCTCGCGGTAAAAATGCACAATTGCTTCTATCTCTACACCATTGCTAACATCAAAGGTTTGACGGCTACCGCTTGGTCCTGAATGCCAAGGGCGCAAATGAGGTTTTCCCCCATCCACCAGATCCAGTGGTGTGACGATTCGGGGCAAGGCTCACAAACCTTGACCTAAGTCAGAGTACCCCCTGTCGGCCACCCCCCCAGACGGCCACCTAGATCCCCATACAAACAGGCAAAAACTCCCTATTTTCACAACGCAATTAAAAAATTTGAAAAAATCGTAGAAAGGCGGAGTAAGTTGAATTATATAATCTAAAAGCTAAATTTTACAAATAAAATAATTTAATAATAAAATGTAGCGTTTAAAATGTTAAATTTACAAAATAAGCTTTTACATATAAATTACATATAAATGAAAAATTGAAATAACTTTTTAATTAATACCTTAATTTAAATAATACTAATTTACATATATGAAATACCCTTATGCATTTATGTTTTTAAAACCTTGGAATTTATAACATTTTATTTTAATTTTATATAATAAAAAATGCATTGTACTGTATAATACACTGTGTAAGTTGTCCATATTAGCTTAAGTAGTTATATTACATAATATATAATGTTATGTTGTAAAAGCCGGGAT